GGCTTAAATGTTAGAGTGTCATAGATTCAGTATTACTAGATTTGAAGTAGATTTTAGAAGTCATCCAGTCTAACTATCTTTCCAATGCTTGGATCCCCTCCACAACACATTTTCCTAGTATTTACCCAGCTTTTGCTTTATACTTTACTTAGTTTTCAGTAACAAAGAAGGCCTTACCTCAAAAGCCAGCTCTTTGGATATAATTCTGACACTTCTTTCTTACATTGAGATGAAGATAATCTTTGATTAACACTTTAGTTCTAGTTTTGTACCCTCATTTAACAATGAAAAAGCCAACAGCTCTTCCACATAAGAGCTCTTCAAATATTTGCAATCAGCCATACCTTTGGGTCAGCAAGAAGAATAAACACACCCATCTATGTGTCTATTTCTCACATGAGTTCAATCCTGTACATGAGCTTAAATACTCCCCCCTAACCTTCTTCTAAGGCAGTGGTCGGCAAACCGCAGCTCTTGAGCCACATGCGGCTCTTTGGCCCCTTGAGTGTGGCTCTTCCACAAAATACCACATGCGGGCGTGCATGTACAGTGGGATTGAAACTTCGTGGCCCATGCGCAGAAGTCAGTTTTCGGCCTGGGCGAGTCTATTTTGAAGAAGTAACGTTAGAAGAAGTGGGGGGTGTCGGTCGGATGTTTTTAGCAAAGGCCAGCTTAGGAGTACCCTAATCAAGTTAATAACAATGAACCTACCTATATAGTTTAAGTTTAAAAAATTTGGCTCTCAAAAGAAATTTCAATCGTTGTACTGTTGATATTTGGCTCTGTTGACTAACGAGTTTGCCGACCACTGCGCTAAGGTTATGCTATGCCTCTAAAAGTGTAGTAAACAGAAATGCATACTATTCCTTGGCTGTTATCTTACCACAATGGAGTAGAATAGAAAAGTCTTCTTTTGTCCCAATGTTATGTCAATCAATGTGGCCTACCTTATTGACTAATATATTGACTTTAGAGTCACATGAAATATCTGAATTTTTCTTAGAAAAATGTTTAGAATCGAATATTTATGAGCCTCCATATTTCACATTTTAGACAGTGCTTACGAATAAGTCTATTTCTTAAAATTTGTGATTCATAACCATATTAGTAATCCATAAATCAGATATCTGTGTTGTTGAAATGTTATGTCCAAGCAATTAGGGGATGTGCTGAACAAGAAGAGTAAGAGAGTCATAACCAAGCCATGAGAAACCTTGAGCTAGGTGGCATCACTCTATTGATTGGCACTATTACAGCAGTGTTACTCAACCAATTATAACTGCCACATAATTTTTCCATCATCCACACCCCGTTTTGACATCTTGTCCACTGTTCTGTTACAGAACAACTTTGTCAATGAAACAAACAAGCTTTGTTTGACATGGCTATTTTTAACACAGCTTAATTTGTTCTGTTTCAAAATAGGTTAATGCTTTCTGATAAAATTAAAAATCAAGCCAGTCAGGATTCTAATTACTGATGCATAATCATGGATCTTGGGTTTCAGAACCCCTGTTTGTAGCTGTTTGGATAGGACAAACATAGGACATAGCAGGCAAACATTCCTGGGCCAGAAACATGTTGAATAGTTTTGTTTTGTTTTGTTTTGTTTTAAATGAAAGGCTGTATATTTTTATGTATGGGGGGTTTCCATGTACATATTGCCTTTGCTAGTAATACATCTGTAAAAATACATTATATGTAGTATACTAAATGTGTCCCTCCATGGTTAGGGGCTAACAGTGTAGTCACATTGACTGATCTACCACATCTGAAGATTACCTTATTAACCTAGATTTTCAAATTGTTATATAAGGCAAATAGCACCCCTTTACAAATATTCTTCTCTATGAATTACTAAGAATTCCTTCCTTGTCATTTATTATTCCTGATGGAACCAAGTGAAAATTATCATAGTTTTATTTTGACAATTTTATTCCTCCATACCATCTAGCATAACTACTCTCAGCTTAATTTGTATTTCTCTTCCCTATGAGATAAACTCTTCAACTAACAGTTCCAAATCTTAGGACATGATTCAAAATTTTGACTTGGTTCTTGGACATTATCATTCCTCAACCACATTGCTTTCCATGCCATCCTTTCTTATCTTCCATTTTCATTGGTAGGAAAAGCAAAAAAAGAGAAAACTGAGAAATAAAATGAAATAAAAAAAACAGGTGGACACTCAGAAGCGACTGAAGCGAGTAGCAGTAGAAAGTCAGACACGCATACTTACGGAGCTGCCCCAGCCGAGCTTTTTCTTTTTTACCAAACAAACGTCCTATCGAAGACTTGATTCCCTTCTTCTTGGGGGCCTTGTGAAGAGAGTCTTGGCTGCTGTTGGCACTGCCAAGCCCAAAGCTGTCTGGCTCCAGGGAGGCAGCCAAACTACTGCAAACCACAAAGGAGGGCAAGTGCTCATTTTAATGCAACATCCACAAGGTATGCACACAAGACTTGCTTCCTTTATAAAGGTATGAAAGGAGAAACAGGTAGACTTCTGAAGTTTTCTCCCTTTCTGCTCTCCTTTCCTCTTAGTCAAACTGAAGTATGGTTTCACATCCTTAGGGCCCTGAACCTCCAAATTTTCTCTAAAAAACTTATTTTTGTTCCAAATGATCTTCTCCCTTATTTTTTTGTACAATCTCAAGCTAATCAGTAAACATAGGTGGCTTTATTAACTACATGTTAAATGACCTTCTATTATTTATCACTTGACCCTTTACCTATTTGTTTCTGAGTGCTTTTAAAATCTTAAACCTAATAACCTATGATAAGAAATTTAAATATAACTAATAATGAAGTCTAATGGATGGTTTCATTTGGATTTTCATCTAGCATTCTTTCTCTCAGTTTTGGAACCCAATTCACTCAATTTAAAATCATCTGGTTGGGATTCAGAAGTAACAAATCATATACCCTAGTGATCATTGTATACTTTTTCTTGTAATCCTAAGGTATTCTTTGATGTACATGATAAGCTGAAATGACTTTCAAGCAGTTGGTCTAGGTTCCATTCCTGGTCAGTGTACTTGACACTGTATTAATAGGAGAGGTTCAATAGATATTGCCCTCATTCTTTTTTCTACAGCTATTCAATTGACAATGACATAATAAATTATTTAACATTACTTACTCATTTTAATTAATTTGAGTTCACAATCCCTAAACTCAAAAACTACTGCTTTTCTTATGTGACAATATAATTCATTTTTTTTTGGACAGTGAAGGAAGTATCTATTTTGAAGCATTAGAAATTAAAAATAAGCACAACAGAAATAGTGCTTACCAGAACAAAAAGCTCTGTTTTCAAAAATATTTGTTGTAAAACCCATAGTATTTAGAAGGCAAATTCTTACTTAAAGTATTAATCATTGTTATGTTCACTTATATCAAATATGTATCTAGATATGCTGCAATTGATGACAGAAAAAGGACATACAGTTAAGATTAAATTGCATGCTTAGATTTATTTATGTCATTAATTATTATATAGATCTTCTTGCAATTTTTAAGGTAGATGGAAAGGACAATATGAAATGTCATTATGACAGGTGGTATATTTCCTGATATAACCCTATCTTTTCCTTTAATATTTTGTAAATGTGTGTGTGTGTGTGTGTGTTCCTTTCTAAGAACTTTCTGCCTGAGTAGCAGCAGCACCCAAAGGGTGGTGTGCCTAGTCTGCTAAAGGGAAATGGGGCACCATCATGGACTTTTCAGACCTTAATTACTCTTACACTCCAAGCCAAATGTATAGTCCTGTCCTTGATGGGAGCAGAATATGCCACCTTGGGATGTACCACTTTGGCCTGGGGATTATTTTAAGCTGAAGACAGCCAGAGTCCAGCACTCCCAAGGGAAGCTTTATACCTCCCCCTTAACTACCCCAAAGAAGTTAGGTCAGGGGCCTGGACCAGGAAGAGAGCTGTTAAGAGAGAAAACTTTTTATATCAGAAGGACTTATCTGCATAGCATGGTGAACATTTACTTACCAAACATAAGATCTCATTTTTCTATGAATTGTCTTCCTCCCCTTTGAAGCTCCAGACCCTTAACCCCTTCTTCTTAGCTCAGGATAGTATGTAAGCCTCAATATCGAACATTTACTTACCAAACATAAGATCTCATTTTCTATGAATTGTCTTCCTCCCTTTTGAAGCTCCAGACCCTTAACCACTTCTTCTTAGCTCAGGATAGTATGTAAGCCTCAATATAAGACCAACTGCCAGGGAATCTCCTAATTTTATGGGGCTCCCATATGAGTGAAATATGTTGTTTTTTTCCTGTTAATCTGTCTAATGTCAATTTAATTTAGAACAGCCAAAAAACCTAAAAGGAAAGAGGTATAAAGTTCTCTGCCCCTACATCCTAGAATCCCTGTAGTTTTTGTTACTATTCCAAATAAGTTCTTCATCTAGCCTGATTCTATTTCAAAAGAAAATATACACAAAAAATAGAAGAGCTATTCTTTTTTTTTCTTCTATTAAATTTACTGGGGTGACATTGGTCAACATGATCATATAAGTTTCAGGTGTGGGTTTCTATATTACAAGATCTGTATATTGCATTGTGTGCCCACAACCCAAAGTCAAATCTTCTCCTGTCACCATATATTAGGACCCCCTTCTCCCCCCATCCCCTTCCCTCTGGCAACCGCCACACTGCTGTTTGTGTTCACTAGTTTCAGTTTTATATCCCACATTTGAGAGAGAAGAGCTATTCTTATAAGTATTGGCTAATAACAGGACCACAAATGTAAAGTCAATTTTAAAACTAAAAATTTGATCTCAGAATGAAAATTTGTTCTTTTCACAAATATTGTGAAAATTGTGATATTGTTTCTATTTATTTCACAAGTTGAAATAAAATATGTTATATAAAATTTTCAGCAGTCTATTTGACCACACTGAAAGGAAGAGGACTGTTTTCAGGAGGAGCGCGGGCACTGTGTCCTGTGCTGGGAGAGTCCTACCTTCTGGCCTCATTGTGGTAGGAAGAAGGGAGGGTGTGAGTCATCCTGATGGTCCTAGGGGTCGGGGGAGGGGAAGTTTCACATTTAATTGTTGCTTTATCCTCCCGACCATCTTCTTCCACCACTGCAATCTACAAGTAAAAACAATGTATTCAGATGAACTCTTTAAATTTCAACTGAAATGAATAAAAATGGAGAATCATCAAGGCAAGGCTATCTGAGGAAATCTAACACAAAAACAATCCAAAAACTTGGGGCATATAGGTTTTACATATATAAATTCTCATTATTAAAGAGTGTTAATTTAATAACTCTTTAAAAGTGTAGTAGACACTCCAGTTAAAGTAAATATGGACCTGCTACAAAAATATTTAACAGTAAATAAATACCAAAGATCAATATGCAGGTGTTATAGTCATAATTAGCTAGTCAATATTAATAGGAAAGGAGCAAAGGGGAGGCCAAACATTATAAGCATGATCACCTGGGCAGCTTCACCAGGAAGCTGCAACTTCACACTCCCCAGGGAACCACCTGTCCATTCCCTGCAGTTCACTGGAGGAAGGGACCCAACAAAGGGGGAGATGGGTGCTTGTGCAGTGAAGTCAGTGTGACATAGCTTGCCTGCCTATCTAACCTGAGAAAAATAATTGGCTAGGAGGTGGAGGCACCGCAAGCACATGAAATTCTGAAGGGTTAATTGGCTAAGCTCCCAATTATAATCCTCTCTCTGTTGTCCTCTTGCCAGCTCTTGAGCTCTCTTGCTAGGTGACCCACACTCACCTGTGTGCTAGCCTGCCATGTGTCCTTAAGCAGCACCATGGCCCATGGCCACGTGGACCCCACATGCAATGGAATGTGGCTGGGAACACAAGCTAAGTTAGCCAGATCCCGGACTGGACTGTGCTTTAATATGGAGCAGAAACTCTGGGCCGTGGCTTTAATCCTAGCCCCATTGAGAATAAGATTGGACTTTTTCCATGGCAAGAGAGAAAAATGGAGCCTTGGAAACCTAGATGCTTTAATTCCATAGAAATAAACGTCACTCATCCTCTGTGCAAGTCTCAGGAAATTCCTTTCCTTTTGACATTGAAAGAATTCCATTTCCACTGGCAACAACAGGTGGGGACACAGAGGGCACCCCGTTGATAACACAGGGGCTATGAAAAAGCTATTTTGGAATCTACTTTAATATACCAGAATATAAATAATTTATTGAAATTAGAGCACATTTACTGAAAATGCATAGTCAGGTTATCACAACACGGACATCTTTTCAGTGGGGGATTTTAGAAGTGAGAACACATGTTGTCAAAATATAACTTTATTCCCTACTTCAATATTTATGCTCTTGATTTCATTCTGAACAGGAAGGCAGTGTATTAACTATATTTGCATATTTTCTATATTCTTGATGCTCTGGCGCCTGGGGCCATCCTGAGCCAGGAGAGACTGCCTCTCCCAGGGCCAGCTAAATCCTAGAGAAAGCAAACCACTTCCCCGGAGTGGGCCTTCCACATGAAAATCAATCAATCCAGATCTGGATCCCATACCATCTTATCTATCTGCTCTTACACTCCAGGAAGCAATATTCCTCGGCCGTAATCATCCAGGTCAGGCATTAGACAACTAGAGACAGCCCCCCTCCCTAGAGCCCACCCAAATGATTCAGAACAGCCAATCCTAACCCTACTTGCCTTACCTCGCCTTGTCTTTCCCACAGAAACCAGAATAAAGTCTCCTGCCCATGCTTTCCCACACTCTCTGTCTCCTGACCATACTGGCTTCCCTGTGGCCCTACATCCCTGGGTGAGCCCATCCTCTTGGAAAATTTAACAAGTTATCTTTTCATTGCAGTTGTCTCCTGACCTGTTGGCCTCACTATACCTGAATAATAGTGAGACCTACATTTACTGTTGTTCTAGTAGAGATAGTAAACTAGATAATTTTTGTACCAGCAATACTCTAAATCTTCTGTAGAAAATCAGGATACTTAGTCCCCATAATCTAATCATTGACCCAAAAAAGCATGAAAGAAAATTTTTTCTTTTAAAACATTTGCTCTTACGGTCATATTTAAAAAATTCAATAATGCTTAAATACTTTTGATATTTCTTTTTTATGTTACTACAGTATTTAAACTACAGGGAATAGTTTTCTTTTAAAACATTTGCTCTTACAGTCATATTTAAAGAATTCAATAATGCTTAAATACTTTTGATATTTTTTTATGTTACTACAGTATTTAAACTACAGGGAATATAATTTTAAAGCTCTCATGGGAAAAAAAAACAATATTTAACTCGTAGTCATATAAAAGGTATTTACAGTACCTTTCTCCGGTGTTTCCTTAGATCACTTGGCTGTGATTGGCAGCAATAAAAGCAACATAAAACACAACTAGTTAATGATTATCACTTAACCATGTTACAAATTTAAATAGTATCTATAATTTGACTTTGTTTTTTTATTCCATTTTTCCCTAGATAAGTGTGTTTACATTTACTTGTTACAATCATTATAAGAGCACTCCTCTTGGGAGTCCCTTTAGAGAGGGAACTTCCTGGGTGGCATGGGTGGGGCATGTCACCTGTGCACAGGCATCAGATAGGAGACATGGGCTCTAGGAAGCATAAAGCACAAATAGAGCGAGCTAGCCAGAAATAAAAATGGAACTAAATCCTCCCCGTAAAATATAAATGGCCATGAAAAAATTGTGCATAAACACATATTCAATGCATATAGATGGAGTTTACAAACGCTGCCTTTTGCCCCCACTGTGCAGAGCCTTGGGCCGCCTTTGGGCAGGTGGGCTGTTCCTGGGGGATCTCAATCTTCCTGGACTCTAACGCATCCCCCACTCCCAAGTGCCACAAGCTCAGCCCTCAGTATAACATGTTTCTGGAGCTGCTATTTTCTTGTCAACACTCTTTTACAGAATATTTTATAAAGCTAATTCTTTATGATTCCATATGAACCTTATTTACTTAATATCTTTATTGCTTTTTGTTATGAAAATAAAATAATTTTTGTTAAACTATTCCATTATACTTTACATTTTAGTTGTTATTAGAAAATGGGTAGGTTTACCCCATCCAGTGTTCTAATTAGATATTGCTAACATGTCACTTATGCTTATGTATTCGTGGTGAGGTAAAAGTGGATACACTAATAAAAATAAATGCAACACAACAATAAACATGATTGCAAAACATATACACATAGACAACCCAAACAATTACAATGTCTTTGCAATCTATATTTTCTGTCCCTAAAATTTCTAATGTTTCTTTGAATATTCAAATATAAATTATACCCAACAATATTATTTTTCCTTCACTATTTTCTACATGTGAAAGAAAATCTGTTACACTATTGTTATTTGATGACAATGTTTCATTAGGTAATAAAGATTTTCTGGATTTTATTTCTTGTTTATGTAGGTCAGATATTCAACATTTTAAATACTTGTTAACCCTCAGAAAATGTTCTAAGTAATTTTAAGTACTGAAATTATAGTGTGATAATGTTCATTTACCACTGATTTATTTATAAATGACTACTCAAGAAAATTCTTAAGAGCGCTGGTACCCTTGTCACACAAATGCCACATCTAAATATTAAAAATATTTTATCTTATTACTATAAAATAATAACACTATCAAGGGTTATAATGCTAGTGTTCATGAAAATACTTAAAAATTCAAAACACTATGTTGTAAAAATGTAAGTAAATAACAGTAGTATAGAAACAACCAGTTTCCTTGCCTTGAATGCTGAATAAATTATTCTCTATGGACCAAGATTCTTACTTAGCTGTAGTTAACAAGTAGGTCATCAATATGTAGCATGTACTAAACAGGCAGAAACTAAGCCAGAGACAATATCATTTTAGTTAATAAAATCAGAGGGATGTCTAGATTTCTAAAATAAGTAGATCATAATGTAGCTCAGTTATGGCCTTAGTATATCTTAGTACATTTGCTAAAAGTTTGCTCTGTATCTGGTTGGAGTTGGTTCTGATTAGTTGCTCTTTTTTCTGAGTGGCTATTGTCTGTGCTTCTATTTTTAATATTAAGTATGGAAGTCAGCAGAGACTAGAGGACTCACTGGCTTAATGTCTTAAGGAGATAAATGTTTCCTTTTTTTAAAAAAAATTCACCATTTCTCTTATATAGATTTTATTGCATGGGAGTCCCATAACTACAAAGTTTGCTGTGGGCAATATTGCCTCACCATATAAATAGTTTTCTCTTTAAGTTCTCAATTGCATAATCAAAGAAAGAGATACCTACATTTATATACATAACAGAAATTTCATCAAGGTAAAATAAAAACTTAAAAATCAATTATTTATAAGGTAGTTTTTATCTATATAATTCACTAGCCACATCACAAATGATTGCAACATATTTATTTTAAAATGTCATTAGAAAGTGAATTAAACATCTTGGCAATATATTACACACACACACACACACACACACACACACACACACAGCCATTGTGAACTTTTATAGATGCTTCACAACCTTCTTACCAGAAACACAATACACATTTCAGATTTTTCTGTAGTATGATTAATTTATCCTCCATTTATTACGTTTGTGCTGGATTTTACGGTGTATCAACTATTATTTTAGCTATTTGCCTTTTAATTAACCTCTTCCATTTACTTATTATATAACCTAGGGAAAGTTACACCGATGTAGATTACATATCCTCATCTCATAATGGGATTAATAACTGTACCTACCACATAGGTTGTTGTAAAAAGAAGAAATAATAAAATACACAAAAGCCCTTAGACTAGAGGAAACACCTAATCAGTATCAACTAATGTATCATGAATCCTAGTGGCAGCAAAGGGTCTCTGGACGCATCAGCATACCAGTGTCATGACTCCCATCCGATCCATTTCCCTGGCAGGACTTCGCGGTGTGAGCTTTGGCGTTGAATGTCCACTGGGGGGCGATGAGCTGGCCAGTGAAGAAGCTGTAACGGAGGCAGTGATGGAGGTCCCTGGGTGGACTCGCGCTAAATTCAGGCCTTCCAGGCTCACACTTGCTACTCTATTCTCAATTTCTTCAGCACGTAACTCTGTAGATTCTTTTTCTTCCTGAATTAGCCTGAAAGATACAGTTTAATTTTGATCCATTATATGCTCTGATAATGCTAATAAGTCAATTAAAAATTCTGTGAATATTTTATATCAAATCTAGTAGTTCCATCTTTTTTTCTCTAGGGAATATAACTTTCATTAAATTCAAGAGACTTCCAGACTGAAATTTAGAAAATCACTTTCTAAGTGATACATAATTCCTCTCCACTTCGATATTATAACCTACAAAACCCCTTGCCTGCATAATTAATGTATGCCATTAATCTTAAACTTACATTTGAACTACTGCGCTGATAAATGAGTTTTAGAAACTCAGATTCCAACAAAGTTATTAAATCTTACCTCCAACCCAATAACAAAGTATAATTGATAAAATCCTAAATAAGTGGTCATTCATAATTTTCATTTGGACAAATAAATGACCAAGTCATTTTTTAAACATTAAGGTACTTAGCCAAGTCACCTTTAAATAAACACCATGCAATTTAATAATGTGGAGATGGCCCTAGCTGGTTTGGCTCAGTGGATAGAGCATTGGCCTGCGGACTGAAGGATCCTTGGGTTGCATGCTCAATCCCCAGTAGGGGGCGTGCAGGAGGCAATCAATCAATGATTTTATCTCATCATTGATGTTTCTATCTCTCTCTTCCTCTCTGAAATCAATAAAAATATACTTTTAAAAAATGTGATGACAGATGATAGATAATTATAAAATTAAACTGTTGCTATAGACCCCTTTGAGATGACAAAGCTTAAATAGAAACAAGCTTCAAGAAGGTGTATACACTGAGTGGCCAGATTATTATGACCACCTGACATTTGTAGGCAAATTAGCTATAATTTC